AACTTATCTTTCCGCAAACAATCTTGTAAAATCTGTATTGATCTTCTTTATCAATATATATTTTAAATTTGAAAATTGTGTTTGTATTCATCCCCCCCCTTCTACAAACTGTTTAGTATTCTTGTAGACCCTTTTGGGACCAACACTACCAACCACCATGTCACTAATATCGTCGTCACAACTATCACCCTGCCCCATCCCTACCCGAACCCTGCCCCCATCTCTCCTACCTACCCCTACTCTATAGGTTGGGGTTGTTAGGGGGCAAGCAGGGTGGGGCAATGGGAGTGGGGAGAGGCGGTGGGGGGTGGGACCAGAGTAGGGTAGTGGGTGGTAGCTGTGATGACTATAGTGGTGGGATGGTGGTTAGTGGTGGGTTGGAATAGGGTAAGGTGGGGGGACGATAGGGTGAGTAGGGGTAGGGATGGTGATTTGCCCCGACCAGGTGGGGAACACGGTTCACCCGACCCGAACGAGGAGGGGATTCACCGCTAAAAAAGGTCCCGGGTCCAGGGCCAGGGATCCCCGGTAAAGGCAAATCGGGGTTGGGGCCGGGGCCGGGCATTGTGTCCCCTGACCCGCCTCGTACCCGGTATATTAATAGTTATCTATTTGGGATTTGGGCTTTGGTTAGACTTCACTTTGGACTTGGACCATATACGGCCTGCTGCAGACTTGCAGTCTGGGACTTTGGCCAAGTTGGACTTCATCGACAATCATCCTATGCGGCAATTGGCATAACCGCATAAGCCCTCGACAGGTCGACCCTCATCAATCGTCACAGCCAGTCAGCCAATCGTCTTCTTCTTCAATTGTCACTCAGCCAGTCATCTTCTTCGTTAATCGTCTTCTTCGTCTATCTCAGAATCTCAGGATAACCGCATCGGGCTCAGGAACTTAAAATTTTCTTAGTTTTAAAATTTCTTGATTGCCAAGCCTTCTAAGTACTAACTACTACATCTGTAAGACTGTAATAGAACTCCAAGGAAAACAAATAAGCAATGTCTTCCTCTTTCATACCTTTTTCTAAGACTGCTAAGGTTGATTGTTGAAGCATCAGTGCATCACTTCTTTTAGATTTAGGCTTATATAATTTGTCTGGATAAATGATAATTAGGGCATAATAGAAGATGCATAATTTTCTTTAATGTAACTGTTTGTTTCATTCATGTTGTAAGGATATCATACAAATCTTGTAACCGTGTTTATGTTTTCTATGATTATAAATGTATGTAATCTTTCCAATTTTGCTTTTTGGTATATAGATATTGACATATTGTATCAAGTTAAGCGCCTGTTAATTCTTACCAACCAAACAACCCTCATCAATTCAAGACTGTAAATTATGTTACCTCGCCGAGCAGAGTCTCTAGCCCGTTAATACAAGATGCTCGATTGAGGGGCTTGATTGCCTTGAAAGGGATAACTGCTGCAATTGTAGCATCCCTGCTCTGGTTTGAACCAAACCCTTGATCCAAATCATACTTCCTTCATCAAGTACACAGAAAAAGAGTTCAAAAGCAAGTATTTGAAAATTGAGTAACAAGAGAAGAAAACATAAAGTCTAGTAAGTTGGTATTTAATTTTAGCCCTTGAAGATGAATTTTGCAAATCTTGAAGAAGATACATTCACTTCTTAATGGAAATAGGTTTAAGAAGAGGATATTTGTATGTATGTAAGTATTATAGAGTTATTAACAAAAAAAAAATAATGGTTAGGTTTAAGATAATTGGCTTCTCTCCGGGTGATGATTTGTAATTATAAACTATCGAGGGGAGTGGCTTATGTTTACAGAGTCCTTGGTAGCCAGAGGTTTGTGACTTTATACAAGGAAAAATTTGTATAAAATTTTGAAGTTGTGAATTTTAGCATTGTAGATACCTACATGTAATACCTACCTAATGTTATTTATATATTTAGTTTGTCCTTTGGTTAAAAGAAGTTTTCAACTTGCATTTTTTTTGTTATTTTACAATTTACATCAACATATTGCTCTGCTGCTCATTATGCCTAATTTTAGATTTTTTCTAAGATGAAAAATTCACAAAACAAGAACACAGAAGATATTGGACGTAATGCTACAGAAGGAAACAATAAAGATCATATGACTTGTAATGACACCAATGAATCTGTAAGCATGCTTATGGGGTCAAATATTAGCCCCAAGATTGAAGTCACTGAACCAACAAACAAAAGATTGAAATATGTTTTCTGGAACCATTTTCAAACAATATATATTGATGGTCTTCGTTTATTTGCAAAATGTAAGTATTGCAATAAACAGATGACTGGTAGACCCAATGATGGGACGATACAGTTGAAAGATCACTTCAAAGATATGTCATAGGAGAGTTACAAACGACATAAGGCAACAAATTCTAGTTCAAGAGCAAACTGCTAAGGATGGAAAAACATCTTTATTGAGTAACTATAACTTTAGTGCTAAAAGCTCAAGGGATGATTTAGCTAAGATGATCATTCTTCATGATTATCCACTTTCTATTGTTGAGCATCATGGCTTTTATAAGTATTCAAATGGTCTTCAACCTTTATTTAAGGTGTCTTGTAGAGCTACAATCAAATCCGACATTATGAAGATATACGAAACAAAAAAGGTGGTATATTGCGATGTTTGAAAGAAAACGAAAGTAGGATTGCTCTTACTTCGGATATGTGGACAGTTGGTAACCAAAACAAATGTTACATGACACTAACAACACACTACATATATGCCAATTGGAAGTTACAAAATCAGATTATCAAGTTATTTCTAATTTTAGTATTATGTAAACATTTATAATCCAATGTTAATATTCTCATTTGAATATATTCTTTGAATCTTTAATGCAGCTTTTTACATGTGTCATCTCCACACACTGCTGATGCATTGTCCCAAAGTTATGATAGAGTGCTTTATGGATTGGAATACTGGCAACAAGTTGTCAACATTGACACTTGACAATTGTTCAACAAATGATACTTTGGTTGGCAGGCTCTTATGTACTCTTACTTCTTCCTCCTTAATTTTAAAGGGTAAGTTGTTTCACATGAGATGTGGTGCACATATCATTAATCTCATTATGCAAGATGGGTTTTCTGTGATCGAGAAAACAATAAAGAAATGTTAGGGATAATGTCTCATTTTGGACATGTTCTTCTAAAAGAGCCCAAGACTTTAGACTCGTTGCATGACAACTAGGTGTAGATTGTGAAAGAGAATTAGTGCTTGATTGTAAGACTAGGTGGAATTTTGTTTATATAACGTTGAATGTTGCTTTAGAATATAAATATATTTTTACTCGTTTGAGAAATAAAGAGAAACATTATGTTTCTTTACCTAGTGAAGAGGAATGAAAAATGGCAACTGATGTATGTGATAAGTTAGGTTTGTTTTATCGTGTGACCGAGACATTCTCCGGGACCAAGTATCCCACTTCCAACATGTTATTCCCCTTGATTTGTGACATGAAAATATCTATTAAGAGTTGGTAAGACGATCAAAATGACGTTATTAGGAACATGGCATCAAGTATATTGCTTAAATTTGATAAATATTAGGGATTCATACATGATGTGATGAGAGAGGCTATTGTTCTAGATCATAGGTATAAGTTAAAGTTGATCAATTATTTATTCTCAAAGATTTATAGTGTAGACTCAAAAGATGAGGTTATGAGGATATGTACTGTATGTAATGATTTATCAGAGGAGTACAAAAAGAAACATGATCACAATATAATGAAAGAACAAAATGGCATTATTGTCTCAAGTAGGGGGAATCTTATTCAAACAAGGCCTCATGGAAATTGGATTTTGAGAATATGATCTCTGAGGATGACATGTTTGAAATGACCGAGTTGGATGATTATTTGTCAGAGAA